TTATGTGCAGTCTGAAAAATTCATTTCTTACTTTATTCTATTTCATTTTTTGGGTACTATTTCTTGAATCATGATTTATGTCTGCATTGATAAGTACAGGCTTTGTATCAAGTTACAGTTCTCTTAGTACTTAACTTCCGCGGTATAAGTATTTTGAGCTTGGGCAACAGGGACGATGCTGTTGATGTGAAGAACACTGTGATTTTCAACGCATTTGTTCTCAGCCAGGTAATTAATAGAATAAATAAAAACAATAGACATGGAAGAACATGCTTTACAGTACCAAAGCTCTTGCTTCAATATTTTGCTATACCCTACACTGTGTTGTTCTGGATGTGTTTGAAGATCACATGGATATAACTAATATAAGGAGAGAATATTTTATTTGTTTATGTCAATTCTTGTTAAATTTATTATTCTTCATCCTTCATGTGGTCTATAATTGTGATGATTGTAATTCACTTATGAATTTCTGTTGCAGTGGTTGTTTAGTGGATGTCAAATTGTAACATGTTTCAATGTTAATACCAATGTTGCAAAATACGTTCAACGCGCGGCTTTTTATTTTTTATTTTTTAAAAAATTAAAAAAAATTTAAACTAAAAATTGTAAAATTCACCAATAAAACATAAGGTTCCTTTAGTTTTTTCTTACAAATTATTTACGTAAGTGGTTGTAAAATCGTTCAAAATATTGTTGAAACCATCTAAATACATAAAAAAAAATTAAAATTAAGAGCAAAAGAAGTATTTTTTGGAAAAATTAGAGGGTCAAACCGCCTCCGGCTGTTTGCGGTGGATAGATCTCGAAAAAATACGCGGTTTCAAAAAAAAATTTGTTCAAAACGGACAACCGAGTCCAAAGTTATGCCTTTTCCGAACTTTTCACACTTAGCAACGCAAAAAAAAAAAAAAAAATTAAAAAATTTAAACGCCGGCGCTATTTTTGCAACACTGGTTATCATGTTTGTCCACATATTTTATATTTTATTGATATATATTTGTTGACTGACTTTTTAAACCAAATAGTTCTTACTGATGCATGATCTTGTTTTTTATAGTTATTCAATGAATTCAATGCTCGAAAACCCGATGAGATTAATGTTTTCAGCGGAGTCCATAGAAACCACTTGTTTGTGTTTATTGTTTCCCTTACTCTGGTGATTCAGGTGATTTTCTCCTCTTTGAATTATGAGAATTGTATTTTACATCCCTCATTATTGTCAATTTATCACACATTTTCCTTTTCTCAGGTTATAATTATCATGTTCCTTGGAAAGTTCACTTCAACAGTTAGACTTAGCTGGAAATTCTGGCTTGTGTCTATTGCTATTGGCTTTATCAGGTTAGTTTTTGTGTTTAGATTATCATCATCCTATGCACTAGCACGTTTGGCGTTTGGCTCACAAAATAGATCAATAATAGAGTAACATTAACTCTGTTTATGAGAATATCATTCCTCCCCTTGCAAAGGGGATAGTCATTTCTGAGGGGCATGGTATTATTAGTTGCCGTTGGCTGCGCCTGAGGTTTTCAGGAATAGCAAAGTTTTTGTATTATTGGAATTTGGAAATGCCCTTTTCATAAAATATCAAATAAGAAGGAAAATTTAAAATGTTGTGCATGTGCATAAGTGCATTAGTGGATCATACTTTTTGTGTTGGGGGGTTGTACTTTTAAGAGTAAGGTACAACCCAACAAAGCACAATGTAATTTGGATAATGCATGTTAGCAGAGCATTTTAAGATTTCCCATAAATAATTGAGTTAAATTCATATTATATTCTTTTATTCCATTTATAGTTTCCTATCAATATTATTATTATTATTACGGAGTATTTTATTAACTTGTATTAATACTTCTTCTTTACCAATTTGTCATTGTTCTGGATTTTGATTAAACAGCTGGCCTCTTGCTGTGATTGGGAAGTTGATACCCGTTCCTGAGACGCCATTCACAGAATCATTTAAAAGAAAAAGGCACACACGAAGATAGGTATATAGGCCGACTACCTACCTATTCGTGTTTCTCAGAGATTCCTTCATCATCATCATCATATAAATATGGTTCAACTTTGATGCTTCAGATTGATTGATTGGTCACGAAGAGTTGGTTCTACGGCTACGGGCATCAAGAGTTTGTTTTCTAACACATCTGCCTCCGTATCTTTGAAATATACAAATCTAACCGTCTATAAACATGTACATACAAACAACATAATAGGTTGCAACTAATTGATGATCTCTGGCTTACTGATATGCCCGCTCATCGTGGATTTGAATTTGGTGTTTGAAAGTTCTATTCCTGTTCTGGCGAACTCGTAACATGGTTGTGAATGTGGTATTTCTTATATTTGTCAAAGATAACATATTACTTAATATTTTACTGTATATTTGAATTTAATTTGTACTTGTATGTATCGTTTACACTTTGAATTGCTAAATTTCGTTTACACTTTGAATTGCTAAATTTTGGAATTTTTATTAAAGTAGAATACATTTAGATAAGATGGAAATGAGAAATTCGGTATAAGGTAATGTAGGGCGCAGAATGAGGGAATTATACAAGTATAAATGCTTGTTAATTCCGCATTCACTGCAAATACAAAAATGGGGCCAAACACACTTAAACTTTTCCGCAAACTCGATAACGTGGTGGTGCGAGACAGCTGTAATGTTAATTATCAAAATGGTTTCTTGATTAGCATCTATAACAAATTTGTAGGCCGCGGAGGTTCACACAACCTCCTAAAAAATAAAAAAATTTTAAAAAATTGGGCGTCTAGCGTCTTTTTTAATATTGTTAAATTTGGATTAGCACAAGCTTGATTTGAACCAAGTTTTGCTGTTTTTACAGTTTTTTTTCTTTTTCTTTTTTTGCGTCATTTTTACAGTTTTTTTTTTACTCAACAGTACAATGGTATTTTTCATTTTTGGTTCTCAAGTTTAAAATGATCTGATTCAACTTTTGGTGTTCTCAATTATCAAATTTGAAAGGATAAAATATAATGGCAATATAATAACAAATAGTGGAGTTATCTTTGAAGTAAACATGAAGATGGATGCATTTGAGGATGCACTTTTTTTTTTTTTTTTGATTTGCTTTGAACTTTTTTTTTTTTTTTTTTATTGATTTGAGTCGTTGATCTAGATTTTATTGATTCACAGAATAATTTTCCAAAAAGCATAGCTATGATACGGATATACTAGTCCAAAGCTTTGGAAGGGCAAAGTTGGAAACTTGAGCTGCTTTTTGGCAAATTATTCTGTGAACCCTGGTTCAAAATACATAATTTACATATTAAAAGTTCATAATTTATATACACAATTTACACATTAAATGTTCACAATTTAAATTGTGAACATTTAGTATGTAAATTGCAAATATTCAGTAAGTAAATTGTGTATTTTGGAGGTAGATCTACCTTGCAAGGAATCCGGGTCCATGGTATAATTGTCTCTCTTTTCTTTGCATGATTTCAACCAAGGGTCTGTTTAGAAACCCGGAAAATGACTTCTGGAAGTCATTTTCCAAGTTTTTGGTGTTTGGGAAGGCTGAAAATGAAATAGTCAAAGGAAAATAACTTCTAGTCAATGGAAAATGAGGGCTAAAATCTGGAAAATGACTTCCCCTTTTTTTTGGCGGAAGTCATTTTCCATCTTTCGATCAACATCCGTAGACACGCTTCTTCTCCCTTCATTGCTTCTTCAACATTCAACAAAGAACTACCAACACATCTCCTCCAACTACAAGGTATATTATTTTTATTTTTTTTAATTTTTTTTTCCAAATATTATGGCTGGGGAAACCAGTGAGTCTGGTTTTCCGCATCGGATCCAGATCTGGTTTCTGATGCGGAAAACCAGTCACTGGTTTCCGATTGGAAACCAGTGCGTCACTGGTTTCCAATCGGATCGGAAACCAGTGTTCACTGGTTTCCGATCGGAAACCAGTGTTCACTGGTTTCCGATGCAGAAATCAATTGGTTTTGAAACCAGTTGCAATTTTTTTTTGTTTTTATTTTTTTATGCCAAACCGTGTACTTGTTGCTGGTATTTTTTTTTACTGATTATATAATAACTGCGTCGTCTCAAAGATCCGGTCGGAAGAGAAAGACACTTGACTTGAAGGTGGATGAAATTGCTGAACAGCTCGGTAGCATTGCCACGGCAATTAAATCTTTGAATACCGGTATTGATGAAAATCAGTTGTTTGCGGATGTGATGAGCATAGGTGATGGCTTTCATGAGGATGACCTATGTAAGGTATTTGAATACTTGATGACAAATGATGTTCAGGCGCGAATTTTCAATGCGAAGAATGCAAGTTTGAAGAGGAAATGGATTGAGAAATTTATTTCTTCTACGGATTAAATTATGTATGTCTTTTTTGTTGGTTAACATGCATGTTAAGACTTGGATTGGTTATGTTGGATCTTAGTACTTGTTATATTGGATCCTAACACTTTGTGGACTAATTTTCAAGACTTGATGCGTTTATGCTGTTTCTAACATGTAATTGTGATTTCAAATTGTCATATTGTGACAATAGTTTTAGTACTAGAAAGATAGAGAGCAATGGCATTAGAATTAAATACAATCAAAATTTATGTTGGATATAATTTGTAACAAAAATTGTTATATTCTACAAAGAAAAATAAAAATATATTATTCGGTATATAATAATTAAAATGTTTAATAAAAATAAGTATGTCATTCTGTTCATTTTCTGGAAAATGAACCAAACACCAAAAGACAGTTTTCCATCATTTTCTGAAAAATGAACCAAACACCAAAAGACAGTTTTCAATTGTGCAGCCAAACACAGGAAAGGAAAATGACTTCTGAAAAATGACTCATTTTCCAGAAGTCATTTTCCGGGTTTCCAAACAGAGCCTAATCTGAGCCTGATGCCTTAGTGTAAATGAGTTAACACTAGGAAGAAATTTTATAAAGGAAGCAGAGAGAATGCAGTGAGATAAACTTTTTTTTTTTTTTTAAACAATAATTTTCTAGCAAATTTCTTCCCTAAGCACTCGGATCCTTGTACATAACACTATGAAGCTTTGCAAATGCAATTTCAACTCATCAGCAATGAGCCAATGACTATCTTTCTTTTACTTTACAAGATTTCATTATTTTACTTCAAACGGGAAGGGGTGAACCAAATTTAATCAATAGGCCTAAAAGCTAAACCAAGAAAAAAAAATTAAAAATTCCCGCCTTCTGTTTCATTTCTGATATCTCTATACTGCTTCTAGCGCCGAATGTTACCCTGCTGCTAGTTGAAGCAAAATCATGCTTACTACTGCTAGCTAGCTCCAGTGGCATCTTTCTGGATCAAGTTGTCCGAGCCAACCTCCTCGTCGAATCGCTTGCTTTGTTCAACACCTTCAAGAGCAACCTCAGTTGCTTTATCAGCCCTGAAATACAACAAACTTGCACATTATTTTTTGACTAGTGTTGTGATTGCAGTTTCATGCTTTTTTTGATTGTCCAGCGAATGTACATTAATCAAGGAACAAAATTTTGTACTCTGGACAATGTTATAATAATTATTCCGGGATGGGGACGGGGCAGGGAGGGGTATCCCTATCCCAGTTTCCCGAAAATTTTCCACATCCCCGTTCCCGTCAGGGTGGGGATCGGGGATCCCTGTCAGGAACAGGACAAATTGCCATCCCTATGTACAATAGAGTAACAAAACCAATCATCCAAGTTGATATTACTTACCCAGAATAAACAATTAGTCCAACTACAACAGCAGCAAAAGCTACATAGTACATCCAATCAACCTGGAGAAAATACAGTTCTCAGCAACAAACATTTAGTTCAGTAATTCTATCATAGTTTCTACTTTCTAACATATATTATTATATGTTAATAGATCAAACAAACCTTTTCGTGATATGCAAAAATACGAATAAAAACAGACCACATGTCTGATGTAAGCAAGGACAGGTTCAGCATAGTGGAGCCACTAATCTGCACAAGATGAAATTTCAGGGTCAAAGTAACCGTTTCTAATGTAAAGAAAATCAGCAAAAAAATTGGAAAAACCATCTATTGTATCAGAATTAATATGGACAATCAAATAAGCAGCAATGTTATGTCAGATCATGAACTTGTAAATGTTAACTTAAAGAGGATAACTCTATGCTCTTTTAAGCTATGATTTAATTATTTTATTTTGTCCACATTTATTAGAAGCATTTGACAAAAGATGATCATTTTTAACATTCAAATTCCAGTCTTTGTAGCAATCGAAATCATCACTACAAAAGGAAAGTGAGACTGTAATAGAACACAACTTTAGATACAACAGCTATGCAAAGTAGTATGACAAATATGCAACAAATAAAATTAGTTATACATGCAAATACAGACTGCCTCCATTTATAACAACTATATATTACTTTTGAGAAACAGTATGCATCTCTATGTGGACAGGTTAAAAGAAACCCAAATATTTTGCTTTAACGCACACACATAAACACATGTATACATATATAAAAGAAACTGTTTTATGGATGGGAGAAACACTAAGGGCACATACCTTTAGTAAGACAGGAACTCCTGAGTAAAATAAAAACATTGCCAGTGAAAATCCAAAAAAAGGAAGTGTCTGAAATTAGAAATTACAAGGGGTATGAATAATAATAATAATAATAATAATAATAATAATAATAATAATAATAATTTTAATTTGTCAGTAAAAGGCAATATATGAAAATTCAAATCCAATAAAAAAGTAAGTTTGAAGTATCAATCAAGTAAATATAAACGGGAAAGCATCATCTCTTGTAATAACAATATTATCAACGTATACAACAAGATAAATGCTCATACTCTGTTGATGCCAATAAAAGACGGAATAGTCAACTTTTCTTTGATTTAAACAAAAATTTTGCACTACTATGTTAAACCTTCCAAACCGGGGTGGGGGGGGGGGGTGGGGTGGTTTATATGTTTCAGTAGATACACTACGCGTCACAGGTCTATGGTTAACGGAGGAAGCAGGTGGTCTACCTATGGTGGCTGGATATAGAATAAGAGAGGAGAAGTTGGAGGAAGAAACTTCCTTTTGATTTTATTCAATTTCCAACTTAACTTGACAAATTAATATTCTCCCATATATATAGGAGTTACAACCAAAGATATAGAAATAATATTCTAAAACTGCTAAACTAAATATGAAGGAAATATAACTAAACTAGTAAAGGAAACAATATAACTAATTTGATCTTTAGGTAGTGTGAACTAGTTGGGCAGTAGGATCTGTAATGTATCATTACACCCCTCCTGGAGATCAAGCTTGTCCTCAAGCTTGAAGCAGGTGACAACGTTCAAGTTGAATTCAGGTGATTCCATCGCGTGCGTTCAACTCCGTGGATGCAAGCCAAGCAAGGGGTTCTTCACCATCCTCTAATGTCCACAACATAAAAAGGTGACGACAATTATGACCCGGAAAAAATCGCTCATCGCAATTATAACACAATTTTTTGGCATCCCTCTCGGCCTTTTCCGCTGGAGATAGGAATTTATACGGAGGTCGAGGTGATTTGGTGTGGTTGGTTGGTTGTTGTGGGGGTAGTGAGACACGGGCAGAGGGAAGGGGTGCGGCAGGGTGTGGGTCATTGTTTACCGTTTTGGCAGGTAGAAGGCCTAAGATGTGACATTTCCGGTAGAAGTCACGGGCTGTATTAATGGCTTCGTTTAGAGAACTAGGCTTGGTCCTTTCTACATCAATCCGAAGTACCTCGTCTAGACCACCGGTAAAAAGATCAACGCGTTGGGCTGGGAGTACTGTGCCTGCACGTGCAAGGTGAGCTCGAAAGTCCTTGACATAATCATCAACGTGCCTGCCGGTCTGAAAGAGCAGCTTTAATTCGCCTAGTGGATTAATGCTTCGAGGTGGCCCAAAACTCAAACAACACTCTTCCTTAAACGATGCCCAGGAAGCAAATGGTGACACCGCAGTTTCAGAATGGTACCACAATTGGGCCGCGCCAATCATGTGGTGTGCTGCCAGAGGAACACGTTCATGGCCTGGTGTGTCAGCATGGCGAAACGAAGACTCACAGCGAAGTAGCCAAACCATAGGGTCTTCCTCGCCTGAAAACAAAGGGAATTCGACCTTGGGATACTAGGAAAAACGGTAGGAGTGATCCCCTATGTCTGCCACAGTAGATGTCCCTTCGTTTTGAAGGGCAGAAACAGAGTTCTCCTCCTGGACAGGTTGTTTACCATGGCTGGTGAGTAGCTGTTGGACCAGATTCTCCAATCTGGCAAGAGAAGCTGCCTGGGTGTGAGAGGATGCGGATAAAGAGGCGACAGTAGTTGTCAAATTTTCAATTTTGTCATGCTGTAATTCCAAAGCTTTGACAGATTTTTGCAAAGCTTTGATGGCTGATTCAATGTTCAAATCAGTACCCATGACGCCGGCAACCGGAACCAAATGATATGTTTCAGTAGATACACTGCGCGTCACAGGTCTATGGTTAACGGAGGAAGCAAGTGGTCTACCTATGGTGGCTGGATATAGAATAAGAGAGGAGAAGTTGGAGGAAGAAACTTCCTTTTGATTTTATTCAATTTCCAACTTAACTTGACAAATTAATATTCTCCCATATATATAGGAGTTACAACCAAAGATATAGAAATAATATTCTAAAACTGCTAAACTAAATATGAAGGAAATATAACTAAACTAGTAAAGGAAACAATATAACTAATTTGATCTTTAGGTAGTGTGAACTAGTTGGGCAGTAGGATCTGTAATGTATCATTACACCCCTCCTGGAGATCAAGCTTGTCCTCAAGCTTGAAGCAGGTGACAACGTTCAAGTTGAATTCAGGTGATTCCATCGCGTGCGTTCAACTCCGTGGATGCAAGCCAAGCAAGGGGTTCTTCACCATCCTCTAATGTCCACAACATAAAAAGGTGACGACAATTATGACCCGGAAAAAATCGCTCATCGCAATTATAACACAATTTTTTGGCATCCCTCTCGGCCTTTTCCGCTGGAGATAGGAATTTATACGGAGGTCGAGGTGATTTGGTGTGGTTGGTTGGTTGTTGTGGGGGTAGTGAGACACGGGCAGAGGGAAGGGGTGCGGCAGGGTGTGGGTCATTGTTTACCGTTTTGGCAGGTAGAAGGCCTAAGATGTGACATTTCCGGTAGAAGTCACGGGCTGTATTAATGGCTTCGTTTAGAGAACTAGGCTTGGTCCTTTCTACATCAATCCGAAGTACCTCGTCTAGACCACCGGTAAAAAGATCAACGCGTTGGGCTGGGAGTACTGTGCCTGCACGTGCAAGGTGAGCTCGAAAGTCCTTGACATAATCATCAACGTGCCTGCCGGTCTGAAAGAGCAGCTTTAATTCGCCTAGTGGATTAATGCTTCGAGGTGGCCCAAAACTCAAACAACACTCTTCCTTAAACGATGCCCAGGAAGCAAATGGTGACACCGCAGTTTCAGAATGGTACCACAATTGGGCCGCGCCAATCATGTGGTGTGCTGCCAGAGGAACACGTTCATGGCCTGGTGTGTCAGCATGGCGAAACGAAGACTCACAGCGAAGTAGCCAAACCATAGGGTCTTCCTCGCCTGAAAACAAAGGGAATTCGACCTTGGGATACTAGGAAAAACGGTAGGAGTGATCCCCTATGTCTGCCACAGTAGATGTCCCTTCGTTTTGAAGGGCAGAAACAGAGTTCTCCTCCTGGACAGGTTGTTTACCATGGCTGGTGAGTAGCTGTTGGACCAGATTCTCCAATCTGGCAAGAGAAGCTGCCTGGGTGTGAGAGGATGCGGATAAAGAGGCGACAGTAGTTGTCAAATTTTCAATTTTGTCATGCTGTAATTCCAAAGCTTTGACAGATTTTTGCAAAGCTTTGATGGCTGATTCAATGTTCAAATCAGTACCCATGACGCCGGCAACCGGAACCAAATGATATGTTTCAGTAGATACACTGCGCGTCACAGGTCTATGGTTAACGGAGGAAGCAAGTGGTCTACCTATGGTGGCTGATATAGAATAAGAGAGGAGAAGTTGGAGGAAGAAACTTCCTTTTGATTTTATTCAATTTCCAACTTAACTTGACAAATTAATATTCTCCCATATATATAGGAGTTACAACCAAAGATATAAGGAAATAATAATAATATTCTAAAACTGCTAAACTAAATATGAAGGAAATATAACTAAACTAGTAAAGGAAACAATATAACTAAACTAGTAAAGGAAACAATATAACTAATTTGATCTTTAGGTAGTGTGAACTAGTTGGGCAGCAGGATCTGTAGTGTATCAGTGGTGGAACTGTTTTAGGCCATACAGAGAATGTTTGAGCTTACAAACCAAGTAAGCTAGAACTCCACATGCTCAGCAATGAAATTTTTCAAGAACATAATAGAAAATAGGTTAAAAAATATGGCACACGTTTTAAAACTCCTTTTCGCAAAGTGAAGTGATGGTCACTAATCCAAGTATGGGGAATGTTATAGAATATTCTGTGATATTGAGAATCCTATATATTAGGAAATCTAAAAATTAGAGTTTGAGGTATATGGAAACTTCCATATCAGTTGTTGTTAAGCTCTAAAGTGAAGTGTGTATATTGCACTGTGAAACATTACCACTGTGTAGAGAACAAAGAAAGCCTCTGCTTATATACAAGGCAATGGATACTCCTAACCACTCATTTCGAAATTCAAATGGGTAGTTAGGAGGATCCCTCTAACAACCTACTAACACTCCCCCTCAAGTTGGAGCATAGATATCAAACATGCCCAACTTGTTACATATATATGAAACCCGATTCTTACACAACCCTTTCGTGAATATGTCAGCCAGTTGATCACCGCTCCGAACATGTGTAAGTGATATTAGTCCTTGCTCCACTTTTTCCCGTATAAAATGGCAGTCCACTTCAATATGCTTCGTCCGCTCGTGAAAGACCGGATTATTTGCGATGTGTATGGCAGCACAGTTATCACACCACAAATCTACCAGTAACTTCACTTCAACACCCACTTCTTTTAGAATGTTACGCACCCAGACTATTTCGCTCGCCACATGAGCCATAGCCCGGTATTCTGATTCAGCACTCGAGCGCGACACCACATTCTGCTTCTTACTCTTCCACGAGACCAAGTTACCTCCTACAAACACACAATAACCTGTCATAGACTTCCTGTCACCTGGTGACCCAGCCCAGTCTGCATCGGAGAACGCCTCAACACGCATGTACCCGTGGTCAGCATAAAGAATTCCTTTTCCAGGAGCACCTTTCAAATATTTCACAATCCGAACCGCCGCTTCCCAGTGAGTCTGGGTCGGTGCACTCATGAACTGACTAACCACACTCACTGGAAACGCAATATCTGGACGGGTGATCGTGAGATAGTTCAGTTTTCCCACTAACCTCCTGTACCTCTCCGGGTCTTCAAACGGCTCCCCTTCTCCTGCCAATAACTTCACACCTTGATCCATGGGTGTATCACACGGTTTCGCCCCAAGCAGCCCCGTGTCCCCAAGCAAGTCCAACACATATTTCCTCTGTGAGAGGAATATGCCCTTCTTAGAGCGCGCAACTTCAATTCCCAGAAAATACTTCAACACCCCCAGGTCTTTAGTATGAAACTCAGAGCCGAGAAAGGACTTGAGTGCCTCGATCCCACTCGTATCACTGCCTGTAATTACAATATCATCTACGTAAACTATCAACAAAACACACCCATAGTTAGTATGTTTGTAAAAGACAGTATGATCATATGCACTTCTCTGCATTCCAAACTCAACGACCGCCTTGCTAAACCGCCCAAACCACGCACGCGGAGACTGCTTCAGCCCATATAACGACTTCTTCAGCTTGCACACCTTCCCAGACTCCCCCTGAGCAACAAACCCTGGTGGTTGCTCCATATAAACTTCCTCACGCAAGTAGCCATGTAAGAAAGCATTCTTCACATCGAGCTGATGCAAGGGCCAACGACTCGAGGCTGCCAAAGAGATAAATATCCGTACAGATGTTAACTTGGCCACTGGAGAGAACGTCTCGGTATAATCTATACCATACGTCTGGGCGTACCCCTTGGCTACCAAGCGTGCTTTGAGCCTAGCCACAGACCCATCCGGGTTCATTTTCACCACATACACCCATTTACATCCAATAGCAACCTTACCAGGGGGAAGCTGCACCAGATCCCAGGTCTGGTTCTCCTCAAGGGCGTTTATCTCCTCTACCATCGCACGCCTCCAACCGTCATGGGACATAGCCTGACTCAGAGATTTTGGAACAGGGACAGACTCTAACTGGGACACAAAAGCACGTGAAGACGCCGATAAATTGGTATATGACACAAAGGCCGGAACGGGACGAACACAACGACGCGTACCTTTTCGAACAGCGATAGGAACATCTTGGTCTGTCGACGAAGATTCTGGTAAGGGAGGATTTACTGGTGGAACCGGTGGGGCTGCAAGCGCATCAACTTCTCTGGGCCGCCTGTGATAAACCTGCGTAACAGGAGGCCTAGACTCCACTCCTACGGAGTCCGGGATAGTAACAACATATGTCAGAAACTCATCTGTCTCGGAACTACAACCAGACGAACTAGGGGACTCTTCACTGAACAAAGTATTCTCGAAGAACGAGACATCTGCAGAAACCAAGTATCGCCCCAAATCCGGGGAGTAACATCGATACCCTTTTTGAGTACTCGAATATCCCAGGAAGATACACTTTAATGACTTAGGATCAAGTTTCCCTCTTTGAGGACGAACATCCTGGACAAAACACGTACACCCAAACACTTTAGGAGGAAGGGAGAACAACGGTTTGGACGGATAGATGAAATGACAAGGACTCTGACCCCCAAGGACCCTTGTAGGTAGGTGGTTTATTAAGAAACACGCCGTATGAACAGCATCTGCCCAGTAAGCCCTAGGGACTTTCATTTGAAACAGCAAGGCCCTAGCAACCTCCAACAGATGACGGTTCTTACGTTCTGCCACACCGTTCTGTTGGGGAGTGCTGACACAAGAGGACTGATGTACCATCCCATTCTGACTCATATAACTCGAGAAGGAACGAGAAAAATACTCAGTCCCATTATCACTCCGCAAAACCCGTATCATTTTATTGAACTGTGTTTTGACCATCGCACAGAAATTACAAAAGATCCCAAACAACTCATCTCTAGATTTCATGAGATATAGCCAAGTGTATCTAGAGAAATCATCTACGAACGTTACAAAATATTTAAACCCAGATTTCGACACTACTCGACATGGTCCCCATATATCTGAGTGAACTAATTGAAATAAAGACTCGACTCTATTATTGACTCTAGGAGGGTATGGTACCCGACAATGCTTAGCAAGCTCACATGACTCACATTGCAAGCCAGACAGAGATTCTAACCCCGGACACAACTTCTTTAAGACAGACAAAGGCGGGTGACCATACCGGAAGTGCAGCTGCAGCGGAGACATATTTCCCAACAAACCAACCGGAACACTTCCAGAATCTTTGGACAACTGTTCTAACACGTACAGCCCACCGACTTCCTTCCCTTTACCAATAATCTTCTTCGTCAACAGATCCTGAAAAAGACAATATCCAGGGAAGAACATGACACAACAATTTAGGTCCCGGGTAATTTGACTAATTGACAATAAATTGAATGGGAACTTTGGGAGATATAACACGGATGTGAGAGGGAAAGACGAACTAACACTCACACTACCTTTACCTAAAACAGAGGTGGATGAACCATCTGCCAAGGTAACCGTAGGGCCATATTTAAAGGAACAATATTCGGAAAACATACTTAGATTACCTGACATGTGGTCACTGGCTCCAGAATCAATGACCCACTGTCGAGACGAGGAGGAAACACAAGCAATAGGATTACCTGTTTGAACAAAGGTAGCTGACGGGGACGGCAATGACCCTGGACTGGCTGGAGACTGCGAGGATGACAGCTTTAACTGATTAAACAAAGCCATTTCTTCTTCAGTTATCACAACCGTCCCTTCCGGTCTCGAGGCAGAATTAGCAAACCTCCTATGGTCGGAGAGCTGTGGGCATTGATTACGCAGATGGCCGGGATCACCACAATTATAGCAAGCCCTTTGCCCTCGACCTCCTCCGCGCCCTCTACCTCGTCCCCTGGACCGACCTCCTCGACTATTGGCACCATCAGTCCCACTATTTCCCTGTGAGAAGAAAACTTGTTTCTCCAACGCACTATCAGTACTAAGGTTCACCGACGCATTTTGGACCATAGAGAACACTTGGTCGAGCGAGTCTAATTCCTTATTCCCCAACAACTGTGATTTCAAAACATCATACTCCTTATCCAACCCAGAAATCCAACTAAAAATATGCAACTGATCACGTTGTTTTTTCATTTGATCCACCTTATCAGTAATCGGCATAGCAGCACATAATGCCTCACTCACATTCTTGAAGTCATAATAGTAATCCCTGATGTCCCGCCCTTTTTGAGACGGTCGGTGAACATCCTGGGATAACTGATATAACTTCCTCAAATTATTCACCCCGCTAAACCACTTATTCACTAACTCCCACACGTCTTTTGCACTCGTACAATGCTGTAAAGATAGGATTATCTTCCTATCAATACAATTTATTATACGTGAAAACAGGGCGTCATCATCTTTCTGCCACGCTTGGGCTTCGGTAGGGTCTGCCGGACATGTCTCAGTTAAATGTCCAGCTTTACCCATACCCTTCAAGTTCACTTCAATTAAGAACTTCCATTCCCCAAAATTAGACCCATCGGGTGCCAACATCAAATCAACCAATTTAGATTGTGTTGACACCACGGTAACGATCCTATTTTCTGCCATAATAAACACACAAAACACCAACCTGGAAACACAGCTTTTGACTTCTATGTAGACGACAAAAACACACAACTCAGCTTCACTTCTTACTCAGCAAAGCAGCAGATCTGGAAATCTGGAAAAAACAGCCTGACGCAGATCTGGAAACCTGGAAACCAGTCCACTCAATCTCCCCTCAACACCGGACGGAGATATCCACATAGGAGTGTTGGGCGCACGGAGACGATCCCAGCCGTGTCAGCGGCGACCGGAGGCGACGTCGGAGAACACCGCACGCGCCGGCGCGTGGCGTCGGAGCTCCGGGAGTGCGGCGGCGCGTGGACCTTCCGATGACAGCTCCGATCCTCCCGTCGGCGGCGCCTCCTTGTTCCGACCAAAGCCCACCACCCGCAGGCCACATCTATGGCTCTGATACCATGTTAAGCTCTAAAGTGAAGTGTGTATATTGCACTGTGAAACATTAACACTGTGTAGAGAACAAAGAAAGCCTCTGCTTATATACAAGGCAATGGATACTCCTAACCACTCATTTCGAAATTCAAATGGGTAGTTAGGAGGATCCCTCTAACAACCTACTAACAGTTGTCCTCTAGCCCTGCATTTATAGAGAGCTGAAATCCTCCCTAAAGGTGTGAGAGACAGTGAGAGAGAGCTGCTCAAGAGGTATAGCACTCTAAACCTAATTACATGGTATCGGAGCCCCTTTAATAAATTTTTTTTCCGGCGGTCTCCTTTCGTCACCGCCCACTCAGAAAGGTCCGCCGGTGTCCGGCGACCACATCTGCAGCGTTTCCCGGTGTTCTGCCCTGCGCGTGGGCCTCACGCGCCACCACTACCGCCGCCTCCTCCGTCACGCGCCGGCGCGTGCGGCTGCTCCGGTGACCGGAAACTTCTCCGGTCAGGTCTACCAGGGTCGCCTAAGTCCTGCCGTCTCAGTTCCGGACTTAATTTGGACCATTGCCACTTCGGTTCTAAGGTTAGGTTGTTTCGTACCCCTTAGGCTCACTTTTTGGTGTAGTTTCTGATCTGTTTGGGCTCAAGTTTTGGTGGGTATGGCTGATAATAAATCTGTTGTTGTCACTGATATTGTTCCTGTGACTTCTAAGATCACGGACTGTAAGCTTAATGACTCTAATTACTTGGAATGGACTCAAGTCATTACTCTTTATCTCACTAGTTTGGATAAGACAGATCACCTAACATCATCTTTGGCTGACCAAGAGCCTACTTGGGTGCGGGATGATGCACGTTTATTTCTGCAGATTCGTAATTCTATTGATGAGAGTATTGTTGGTTTCATTAGTCATTGTGGTTCTGTTAAGGAATTGATGGAGTATTTGGATTATTTGTACTCTGGGAAAGAGAATATTACTCGTATTTATGATGTTTGCAAGTCTTTTTATCGTGCTGAGAAACGAGATTTATCTCTTATGGCATACTTTATGGAATTTAAGAAAACATATGAGGCGCTTAATAAGCTTATGCCTTTCACTACTGACATTAAAACACAGCAACAACAACGTGAACAACTGGCTGTTATGAGTTTTTTGGCAGGTCTCCCTTCTGAGTTTGATACAGCTAGGTCTGCCATTCTGATTACCTCAGACGTCCCTACTCTGGCTGCTGTATTCCCACGTTTGATTCGTTCGAAGCAATTGCAACTGAGTCATTCCGGTGTAACCATCCCACCAAGCCTCTCGTTGGCCGCCATCCTCGCAGTGGGAACTCCCAGGGGCAATCATCCAATCCGCCTCATAGTGGGAATAGTAGAAATTCTCAGGGGTACAGTTCTGGTGGTATTGTATGTCATTATTGCCATAAGCCTGGGCATATAAAAAGGGATTGTAGGAAGTGGTTGAGGGAGCGGGGAAATTCTGCTGCTAATATTGCATATACACCTGAGGCATCTTCCAAAACGGTCATGGTCTCTGCGGATGAGTTTGCCAAGTTCTCTCAGTACCAAGAATCCTTGAAACATTCATCCTCTTCGGTCACTGCTATTGCTGACTCAGGTAATACAACCACATGCCTTCTCTCATCCTCATCCAAATGGGTTATAGATTCGGGTGCTACAGATCATATGACAGGTAACTCTAGTCTATTTTCCACGCTCTCTTCCCATCCACATAGTTCCCCTGTCACCTTAGCGGATGGATCCTCCTCTCGTGTACTTGGGTCTGGGTCCATAACGCCAATCCCCACGCTGACTTTGTCATCTGTCTTGCACCTACCTAATTTTTCGTTCAATTTAATTTCAGTCAGCCGTCTTACTCGTGTTTTGAATTGCTCCGTTACGTTTTTCCCTGATCATTGTGTGTTTCAGGATCTTATGACGAAGAGGGTTATTGGTAAGGGGCGCGAGTCTGGAGGTCTCTACGTTCTTGACACAGCGAGGCCGGAGTCTGTTGCGTGTTCTGGTGCTGTCACTCCAGTTGAAGCACATTGTCGTTTGGGGCATCCTTCCCTTCCCTTGTTGAAGAAATTGTGTCCGCAGTTTTCTAGTTTGTCTTTTTTACATTGTGAGTCGTGTGAGTTTTCTAAGCACCATCGTGTGCATTTGAGTCCTAGAGTTCACAAACGAGCGTCTGCTCCTTTTGAGTTAGTACATTCTGATGTTTGGGGTCCATGTTCTGTGACATCTAAACTCGGTTATAAGTATTTTGTTACTTTTGTTGATGATTTTTCCCGCATGACATGGTTATATCTACTGCAGTCTCGTTCTCAATTGTTTGATGTGTTTTGTGGGTTCTGTTCTGAAATTGAAACTCAATTTGGTATTCCTGTCAAAATTTTACGTAGTGACAATGCTAGAGAATATTTTTCACATCCTTTTGCCTCTTATATGCGTGGGAAAGGTATGATACATCAGTCCTCTTGTGTTGACACACCTTCCCAAAACGGGGTGGCTGAGCGAAAAAATCGGCATCTGCTTGAAACTGCGAGGGCCTTGATGTTTCAGAGGGGGGTTCCCAAGCAGTTCTGGGCTGATGTTGTTTCCACAGCCTGTTTCTTGATCAATCGTATGCCCTCTGCGGTTTTGGATGGGAAAATACCTTGTCATACTCTGTATCCTTCGAAACCTTTGTTTCATATTGACCCACGGATATTTGGTTGCGTGTGTTTTGTTCGGGATGTCCGTCCCAATGTCTCCAAGTTAGATCCAAAGTCTTTGAAGTGTGTATTTCTTGGTTATTCTCGTGTGCAAAAGGGTTACAAATGTTACTCTCCTGAGCTTGGTAGGTACCTTGTTTCCATTGATGTCACCTTTCATGAGGATGTTCCTTTCTTTCCTGCATCTCCTGATGTTCTCCGTGAGGGGGAGAGAGATGATATCTTGATGTATACGGTCACGTCCTCTGCTCCTATCTCTGTTCCTACTCCTCCTGTCTTACAGGTGTATTCTCGTAGACCTCGGCCTACTGCACCCGTTCCGGCACCACCTCCTGCTTCCCTTCCGGATCCAGTACCAGCTCAATGCCCTGAAACCACCTCTGTGTCATTTGATCCAGTCTTGGATGATGATCTTCCGATTGCTCAACGGAAAGGTAAACGTAGTTGTACTTATCCTATTTCCTCTTTTGCGAAATATGATCGGCTGTCATCTGCCTCGTGTTCTTTTATTGCTTCCCTTGATTCTATTCTAATCCCTAAAACTGTTACGGAAGCCTTATCCCATCCTGGGTGGCGTAATGCCATGATTGAAGAGATGACTGCTTTGGATCACAATAGTACTTGGGAGTTGGTCACTAAGCCTGCAAATAAGAAGCCTATTGGTTGTAAATGGGTGTTTACCGTCAAAGTTAATTCTGATGGGTCTGTGGCTCGTTTGAAAGCCCGCCTTGTGGCTAAGGGATATGCCCAAACTTATGGGGTTGATTATTCTGACACTTTTTCTCCGGTGGCTAAGCTTACTTCTGTCAGATTACTCATTTCAATGGCTGCCATCAATGATTGGCCTTTACATCAGCTTGATATCAAGAATGCTTTTCTGCATGGGGATCTTCTTGAAGAGGTATATATGGAGCAACCTCCTGGGTTTGTTGCTCAGGGGGAGTCTGGAAAGGTATGCCGACTTCGGCGATCGTTGTATGGGTTGAAACAAAGCCCACGTGCATGGTTTGGAAAATTTAATCAAGTTGTTGAGAGCTTTGGGATGGTGAAAGGAAAATCGGATCACTCCATGTTTTACAAGTGGTCCAAAACAGGTATCATCTGGTTGGTAGTCTACGTAGATGACATTGTCATTACAGGGAGTGACACCAAAGGGATTTCATCTCTCAAGTCATTTCTTCATAGTCAATTTCAAACTAAAGATTTGGGACCACTGAAGTACTTCCTGGGTATTGAAGTTATGAGAAACAAAACAGGTATATTACTATCTCAACGGAAGTATGTACTTGACTTACTCTCTGAAACAGGAAAATTAGGTACTAAACCATGTAATACTCCCATGACACCGAACTTGCAATTGTCAAAGGAGGGGGAGTTGTTTGAAGATCCTGAGAGGTATAGAAGACTAGTTGGGAAGCTAAACTACTTGACAGTAACTCGTCCAGATATTGCATACCCAGTTAGTGTTTTGAGTCAGTACATGACATCCCCAACTATTGATCACTGGGCAGCTGTAGAGCACATTTTGAGTTACTTAAAGGGAGCCCCAGGACATGGAATCTTGTATAAGAATCATGGTCACACTAGGATTGAGTGTTTTACTGATGCTGATTGGGCAGGGTCCAAAGAGGATCGTAGATCAACAACTGGATATTGTGTGTTCTTTGGAGGTAATCTGGTTTCCTGGAAGAGCAAGAAGCAGAATGTAGTCTCTCGTTCGAGTGCAGAGTCTGAATATAGAGCGATGGCACAATCAACGAGTGAAGTGATGTGGATACACAACCTTTTGTATGAGTCTGGTTTCAAAGCTCCAATTCCTGCAAAGCTATGGTGTGATAACCAAGCTGCTCTTCATATTGCATCAAACCCGGTGTTCCATGAACGAACTAAGCACATAGAGATTGACTGTCATTTTGTACGTGAGAAGATACAACAAGGGTTAATCTCCACAGGATTTGTGAAGACAGGAGAACAACTCGGGGACTTATTCACGAAGGCCCTTACTGGAACCCGAGTCAGTTATTTGTGTAACAAGTTGGGCATGATCAATATCTTTGCTCCAACTTGAGGGGGAGTGTTATAGAATATTCTGTGATATTGAGAATCCTATATATTAGGAAATCTAGAAATTAGAGTTTGAGGTATATGGAAACTTCCATATCAGTTGTCCTCTAGCCCTGCATTTATAGAGAGCTGAAATCCTCCCTAAAGGTGTGAGAGACAGTGAGAGAGAGCTGCTCAAGAGGTATAGCACTCTAAACCTAATTACAGGGAACAAGGCAAGGACAGAAGGAATGACCAAGAGACTTACCGCTCCCGTTGTCCAATGAATAGATTTCAATTCATTGCGCTCAAATATGCTTCTGTAGCATTGGTTAAAGAACTTACATCAATGACAACATTATACCCACTTAACAGCATAAATATAAATATTAGGTTCAAACATTTTAGAATAGCATATGCTATATGTAAATCATCTTCAATAGCATAGAACAAATTGAAAGCAACAAAAATCCAAAATTTTGAGCGTGTTGCATAGAACATGAAAACTATAAGGTCATTAAACCAAGCAAGGATACATTTGGCAAGCACTAATAATGGCACCAAAGAGTCCCAAAAATGCCATGAGTTCAACCCTATCAGCACTTTTAACAAAAAATTCCTGCATATATCATTAAACAAGAAAACAGCAATAGTTAAGACTGAAGGTATAATGAAAAGTTGGGTCAACAATAGGTATATGTGAATAAGGGGATAAAGGGTAGAAAGAAGATACTCGGCAGAGTATTAAAAAAGAATAAAACAAAGCTGTTAACAGAAAATAATGAAGGAAACGTATTTCCGAGTGTCCTTTAATAGGTAATAGCTGACACTTTAAATGGGTTTTCTCTGAATATGACTAATTATTAGTTGTAAAGAACATGAGACAGAAACCATACAGGTTCTAAAAAACTTTTAACTAATCATGAAAAGTTCCAGTTATAAAATAGGAGTTCCTAACACAACAAATGTACTTTAATGAATTTGAGCAACCATGTCCTTTTTCACAACTCACAAGGTAGAAAGAAGCTGTTTAACTGCAAAGAATGCTATTGTGGTTTGATACTGAACATGATTGTTAAGAGTCCCACATTGAAAGAATAATAGAGAATATATGGGTTTATAAGGCCATGAGTTAGACTAATTAATTGATTAGATTTATTCTTTTAGTGTGGTTTGGCCCATGTGCATTCCCTAACCCAATCTTGATTATAACATGGTATCATATAGCCTGTTAGGTCCACTTTGTGTTCACCTGGTTGAAACAACTGACATTATGAAAATACTCTAGTTTTTCTTACCTCACTGACATTAGATATAGCATATAATGTGGCTCCAGCAATTACAAGTATATCTCCCTTGATGGGGTTGCTCCCACCTACATCCAGACATGGGAAGAAATTTTCAAACATTTCTTAAAAGAAGATGGACACAGAAATGAAGTTTTGAGAACTCAAGTAATGATGCAGACAAGATGAAAAGAAAAAAAATATGTAAAAAAGAGTTTATAAGGGACATGAAGAAGAATATGATTTCCCTTCTGGGAATTACTGAACTTGAGACTGTAATTATAAGCAGCTGAATCAAGGAACACTAATATAAATGGAGAGGAAAAACGTAAGGAGCATGCAGAAATAAACTATTTTGGCAAGGAAAATGAGAACAAGCACAATGACATTGACTTGTACTACTAAAATTACTCACTTGATCTGTCTGCTGCATGTACATCTGAAAATATCACCAGCACAAGACCAGCAACACAAATAAAAACACCAAAAAATTTTCCAATTTTGTATTTTGTCTTCAAGAAAATCCAGGTAAAAAGCATAACACAAGGAATTGCCCAACAATCCAGTAGCATGACACTTGTTAGGGATGTGTACTGATAAGATTTCACCACTGTAAATAAGAGGCATAAGGTTAACATACTGAATGATTAGACAAAATAGCAAATGACAGATTTGAGAAATTTTCATTCCCTTTCGGTCTATCAAACTATAATTAATTTAGCTGGAGCAAAGAGCATACAGAGAGATGTAAATAGATGAATATAAAAATAGATGTAGAGCCACAACTAATTTCATTAAAACTATAATTCTGATAACCCAACTATATAAAGAAACTAAACCTCAACAGTCAACATATTAAATTAGTGCAATGAGTAAGAAAAGTTCTTATAATGATTACTTGAGTTGACACCATAGAAATCACATGCCTGAGTCACATCTGAAGTTCAGAACTTGTGGATATAAAAGACAGGTATAGAAGATCAGTTATAAGTTAGTGCCAAGTTCTTAGAACTTGCCACGGTATTGCTGCTTATTGGAAAGGTATTATCCTTGTCACGGAGATGCATTTTTAGTGGAAATAGCAGGACTTCCAAATAGTGGAAAGTTCCAACATAAAAATCTACTTGGAGATTATTTTCTTGGGAACAGTGAAGATCTTTTGTCAATGCAAATAATATCTTTTATTGTTAAGAGCACTGTTGCAAAAATCGCGCCTAGGCGCCGATTAATCGGCGCCCGGCCTCCTAGGCGCTCTAGGCGCCCTAGGCGGTCTCTAGGCGCCTCTAGCGATTTTTTCAACATTGGTTAAGAGTCCAACATTAATAAAATAAGAGACAATATATGGGTTTATAAGGCCATGGGTGAGACTAGCTAATTGGTTGGATTCAATCTTTTAGTGTGGTTTGGCCCATGTGCATTATAGCACAGTTGAGTGACTTGGCCCAATCTCAGATTATAACATGGTATCAAAATGACAGAGCCAGTTCGGTCCACTTTGTGTTCATCCGGTTATGGGTATGGGTGGAATCCAAGCTTTCGTAATCCCACTTGTTCGGTCCACTTTGGTGGCGTCCAAAGCTTTCGTTTCAAAGGGAGGGTCCGGTCCAATTTTAAGTGGTCAACCGGTGTTAAGAGTCCCACATTGATAAAATAAGAGAGAATATATGAGTTTATAAGGCCATGGGTTAGACTAGCTAATTGGTTGGATTCAATCTTTTAGTGTGGTTTGGCACATGTGCATTATAGCCCAATTGAGTGACTCTAGCTCAATCTTAGATTAAACGGAGTAACATTTATCAATTACGGAGTACATACTAAAACTTATAGCAATTGTTGCACCAGAAATATTTCACAACTTTTGTACCAGAAATATTTCATTAAAATTTTTAACCCCTCAATCTTAGATTAAACGGAGTAACATTTATCAATTACGGACTACATACTAAAACTTATAGCAATTGTTGCACCAGAAATATTTCACAACTTTGTACCAGAAATATTTCATTAAAATTTTTAACTTATCAAGCACAGTTACATATTCTGAACTTTAACAAACAGAAAATGAAATTAATTCACAGATGAAATCCCAAAAATAAATAAACATTAATAAAATTAGACTTTATAAAATATAAGACTTGAGTAAAGGCATGAAGCATATATTTAAAAAGGGTGGTCATGGATTTAGTTACCAAGATAATTAGCCTCCACATCAATCAACCCAAGAATGACATAATAATACCACTTTGCCTGCATAAAAATAGAATGAAATGAATATATCATGGGTATTCAATGTCAAGCTGAATTTAAAATGAATGCACATCTTAGACAAATAAAAGCAGGTTGCCTATTTCCCTAAGCATTAGATGACCAGAACTATGTGGCCAAACAAAGAGGATTCTAAGGCGGAAAGGAAATCAGTTAAAGATGATTGACTGCATATGTACCAAAAGAAAGAAGAAAAAGATTACAAATTTCCATATGAGAAATTCTACCAGTTTGAGGCTGTTTGGAGGAAGTAGTGGGCAAAGATTAACTGGAGAAAGTTGATTATCTTATAGAGAATGTTTTGGTGATGCAACTGATAAACAGGAGTAGATCAGTAATGATCTAAACAAAAGAATTGCAGTTCTGCATATTCCACAATCATCCAAATACACAATGATGCCTTGGTCAGATTTCTCTGGAAGGTGTAAAATGGAGCCTCTAGACTCCCATAAAGATAGAGCCATTGGTTTTGAGCAAGGTTTGACCCTAGGCAAAAGTTGCTGAAAGCACAAGAATCAAAAGTGGGGACCAGAAAAGACAACAACGTATAAAGCAAGAAAGGTCCATCAAACAAGTTGCTTTTCAACTACAACTCTAAGGCCAAAGGAAACCAGTTAGAGAAGCACATAGCTTTCGCTTATACAACAGATTTGCCATTTGCATTTGATGGTGCTATAGCTTTTTTTTTTTTTTTTTTGAGATTTCAAAGCAACTTAATCCATCCTTTGTAGTGTAACACAATTACACAAATTCATCATTGATCCTCTTCTTTTTATTGTGTAATTAAAAATCATTAATTTCAGCTCAGATGATGAGTCAACAAATGTTATATTTACAAACACAAATACACCATACAAACAAGTAAAACCTAAAGAAAGAAAGAAGACCTTGAGCGGCTTCTTCCGGTATATCATTATGGCTCCATAGAACAACGCCAAGAGCACATAATTGAAGAAAGATTGAGAAGTGGGGACATTAATTCCTGGAAAATATATACAGAGTAAAAACTTAATACCCAACTAATATTACCACCACAGAATCAGAGTGTAATTTAAAGGGCAAAACACTAAAACCTCTTCTGGCAAGTTCAGAGGATGAGAAACCGGTGGAGGTGATAAGAAGGGACAGAAATTGTCCCAACCCCAAACTCAACAATGTCTTCTTGCTCCATAATTCCTTCAAATGATTACCCATTTCTCCTCACTCCCACACAGACCGTACTACTGCCAATATATGTAATTTCATAATTAAACAACCAATACATGAAAAGAAAAATTAAATTGAAGGATAGTTGAAAATCAATCCTACTTGATTGGAATCGTATCAAAGCGGAAGAGAACAGCAGCAGAGAGGTTCTGCAGTATTGTTGTTTTGTAATTGTATCAACGGAGGAGAGAAAAAGAAAGAGCAGCTAAAGCAGGCTGTAATGATGAATTATTAATTTGTGTAATTTTATCAACGGAGGAGAGAAAAAGAAAGAGCAGCTAAAGCAGGCTGTAATGATGAATTATTAATTTGTAATTTGATCAATGGAGGAGAGAAAAAGAAAGAGCAACTAACGCCGGCTGTAACGAGGAATTTCGGCGGATTCTGCTGCTGCTTTTGAGTGTATTAGTTTATCCGTCTCTAGTCTCTACCGTAGGCTGAAAAGCTAGTGGAGTGTTCAAATTTGACCAAAATACTCCCTCTAGAGTCAATCCTATCGATGCTCCTCTTATAAAGTGTTTTTTGTCCCTCCATTATTGCTCATTCTTAATTTTACATTTTAACTTTTAATTGTATTAAATGTAGTTCTTCGACCTTCAAAAACTCACCCAATTCAGTCATTTGTTAGAAATTTCATCTACTCCGAAAATCATTTGTTAGAAATTTCATCTACTCGTAAAATAAAGAACATTTTTGTCTATTTATCTATTATATGCCTAGTATACACTGAGAAATAGTCGAGGGACCATTTTGAAAATAGTCGAAGGACTATTTTAGAAAAAAAAAAAAAAAAACTCATTTATTTATTACATTTTTATTTATTTTTATTTTTTTAAGACTATCAAATTTGAATTTCTATAATTTTTTTCTTATAAATATAAATAGTTAAAATCTCACAATCCAACCTCAAATTTTTAAACTTTCTATACAGACTTTTTCCATATGTCTAAACATTAAAAAAATAAATAAATTCTCTATTCCTATCAAGTTTTACAATAAGTTCCGTAAGTTTCATAATTATAATGCTCATATACTTTTTATGTTCATATATATATATATATATATATATATATATATATATATATATATATATACTAAAATTTCAATAGACAATCCATCACTATGTATCACATTAAATATTATTTTTATCATTGAAAATAACATTATTATTTTTATCTAGTTTAGACACCCAAAGAGTGCAAAATGTAATAAAATGTTGGACCGAAAGGTAAGTTTTCCAGTAAACTTATCAACTGAGCCGAAAAGTAAACTCTCGTCTGTGAGCTGAAGGTAAGTTTATTTCTCAGTCACACAGCCAATGGCGCACTTCTCGGTCAAAGAGGTTCTTCTGGCCGATTAAGTCCGTTTGCACACATTTAATTCGCGTTCGCACACACTTAATCTAATCTAGACAATTAAAAAATATTAGATGGATGCACACGATTTGTTCTCACGTTCTCACCTAAGCAAGTGTTCTCATTGGAACTCTACTATATATATATATATATATATATATATATACACACACACACACACACATACATATTAATTTTTTCACGCGCATTGCGCAAATGGGATAATGCCCAATGATTATTTTTAAATAAGTACTTTAAAGTATATCAATGCAAGATTATATAGGAGATGTTCATGCATAGATACTTGAATGTTGAATTTGTTTATTTAAATCAGTAATTCAAAGTATATAAATGCAATATAATATATGAGAGATTGAGTATAATTGTTACTAAAATAAATGTTTGCAACTTTGTAATAACTCCAGTCTAAATACTTAGTCTAAAAACGATAGTCTAAATAAATAGTACTTTTTGTTAAAATTTATCGGTGAATTTACTTACTAGATTTAGTGTCTCTCCAACCAGAATACATTAGAGTTGAGTAAAGCATATCTTTAGATATCTCCAAGCGACAAAAGACCTTGGTCTTTATTTTGAAAACAACCAGGACATTACCTTGACTGGGTATTCAGACGCTGGTTATATGTCTGACCCCCATAATGCTAGATCCCATAATGGTTATGTTTTCCTTTGTGGAGGTATAAATATATCTTGGAGGTCTATTAAACAGACCTTAGTTGTTACCTCATCTAATCACTTGGAGATAATAGCTTTATATGAAACCTCACGTGAATGTGTGTGGTTAAGATCACTAATATATCATATCCATCACTCATGCGGAACAATGAAACGTTGTTTCCCCTATTGTCCTATATGAGGACAATGTGGCATGTGTTACACAGGTGAGTAATGGGTATGTTAAAGGAGACCTTACCAAACATATTTCTCCTAAATTTTTTTACCCACATGAACTCCAGAATAGTTGTGAGATACTCATTGAAAAGGTTTACTCTAGTAAAAACCTAGCAGATTTATTCACTAAATCCATGCCTACATCCACTTTTGAGAAGTATGTTTATAAAACTGGGATGCAGAGGCTAGGAATACTGTTGTCTTCAGGGGGAGCGATAAACTCTAAAGTTTAAATGAATTGACGGTCTAGGAGACGTTTAAATCTTGAAGATGATGCATGGAAGGCTTATGGTAAGCTCGTTTGGTTTGCTGAAAAATATTTGAAGGGAAATGGAATTGAAATTCCATGAAAAATAAAATCCAGAAAAATTGATTAATTGTTTGGTTGGTGGAAATGAAATTACTAGGAATATGGATTCCATTGTTTGGTTGGGTTTAGAAAGATAATGAATAATGAATATAAAGACCAATATGTCCTTAAAAAGATGAATGAATAAATAGGTGTCTATGTAATTAAGAAAATTTTATAAGGGTAAAACGGTACATTCATGTTATTTTTCTTCCAAATCCTTGTGGAAAACAAAATCTCGCCTCTTTGCAAAGAATTAATTTTTCAATGGAAAATGTTTTCCATCCAACCAAACAACATAAACCAACATTTTCCTTCACTTTGAAGAAAACATTTTCCATGAAAAATATTTTCCATCCAACCAAACACCCCCTTAGGCTAAGGTTTTTAACGAGGCAACCAATGCAACACATGCTTTATACTACATGTACTCTTTTCCTCTACTAGGTTTTCCCCACATGGTTTTTCTAGCGAGATTTTTAACAAGGCATGAATATAGTTATTTAATAGCCAAGGGGGAGTGTTATAAATATTTTATTATTATGACCATTAATCTTGTGACCTTTTGTTAGCCTTACTTATTACATTATTTATGTTGAGTTGTTGAATATGTGAAAGGTTGTATGAATCATTATATATTGGAGTGAAGGCTAATGAAATGAGATACTGACATTGTGGATCCCTATTTCTCGTGTTTCTTCTTCTCCCTTTACTCTTTACATATACACGAATCTCTGGACAACTACCGTGCAATTATGCCACGAAAACTGAGCTAGTTGATAGGTCAAATTACAACGAAGAATAAGACTTTTAAATTTTTATTACGAATTATTATTAAAATTAACAGGGTATTTAATTAGGATAGCATGGGAAAATGAATAAGTGTCACATTATTAAGGAAAAAAAATGAATTAAACAAAGATATTACATCAACACTAATCTTATGCCACATTATCAAATGATTTGATGTTTACTTGTGGTAACTTATTAATATTAAGAATTGTATAATTTTTTTATAACTTTAATTGCTCTATTGTTTAATTTTTACACTTACACTTATTATGAGTTGATAGTCAAGAGACCATTATGATTCAATTGAAAATCGGGGATATCTAAAAACATAATAAGTGTCAATACAAGTTATATCCTTGATTTTTGTCCCTTTTTTATATGCTAATAAATGTATACATTGTGCTTTAATTGTTGTACATTCATTTGCATTGGACAAAATCACCCTTACACCGTTATAACACCGTTAGTTTTTAATATATCTACCAATCTTACCATACACCTACATCTATCATATCTTTTTCTTATTTTTAATTATCATTATATTTTATTAAAATGATCATATAACAATTAATTTAATTATAAATTATATTTTAATTAAATATTTATATGAATGTTAAATTAATTATATATATATATATATATATATATATATATATATATAATATGTATGTATATTATTTGTGTATCCATATCAATATATCATATATATGAGTGTTAGCTTAGTATTATTTGTAAATTATTATTATATAAAAGTATAATTTTTTTTTTGATCACTATATTATTCAAATATATGATAATTCAAAAGTATCATCAGTTTAAAAAATTGCAAAACATAATTTTAACTAATTTTTAAAATTTTGTTACTTACAAATATTTTAATATTGAGCATAAGTTTTCGCACATCGCGCGTACAAAATGCTAGTAAAATTTTATAAATGTCAATAGTCAATGATTTGAAATTAATTATTTTCAAATTTAAGGTGCGCGTATTTTGCACCACAAGTCCACAACATTGTCCCATCATCCCAAGCCCAAAATATATGTATACGTCATAACTACAATTCTTACTATGGACTAGATTTCATATTGTATTGTGATTTCTGATACAAAAATTATATACTTTCAGTTAACACATTTTGTACTTACAGTTAAGTGTTTTGTGTCAATTATAGAAAGGCGGTATAAATTGCCCCATAACAATACTATACTGTAACCGGAAAATTTCTACATGGTCCGTACCATCGTTATCTGAAAAATCCCAAACAGAAATCTCTTCTAGCTAAAATATCCCAAACCGAAAAAAGGAAAAATTATTTCCGAATTGAAATTCGGACAATTCCTCGCATTGCCTTTGAGTTCGGAGAAATTTCGATCAAATTATGGGGTGAACTGGTGAACCCAATCCCGATCAGGTATGGAGTGGGACAGCAACTCGGATTTCAGCGGAGACGAAGAGGGATTGGAGGAGGAAGAGGAAGAAAAGCTAGGGTTTGTGCTCAGTAGCAATGGCGACGGTCCGCCACTTCCCTTGCCGGTTGATTCGCTTCTTCAGCCTGCGCCGTGCGGCTTCGTGGTTGCCGACATGCTCGAGCCGGATCAACCCGTTATTTATGTAAATTCGGTGTTTGAGATGGTCACTGGTTACCGAGCCGAAGAGGTCCTTGGCCGAAACTGGTAAATGCTATGCACTAAGATATGCGTTTCATTTGTTGAATACTGTTTTCTTTGATGTCAATTGTGGATGATCTGATGAACTCCTTGGGGATTTAAAGGTTCACCTAGTGAATTCTGTCTTCTGTGTTGTTGCAGTTCGTTTTTTCTTGTTGGTTTTGATTACTACCCCAAGAAGTGGGGTTAACTGTACAAATTGGAAACTCTTATTGTGAAGTTGATTTTTAATTAACCTGGAAGAAGAGGTTTTGCTTTTGATAGTTGCAAGGTATATGCTGAGGGGTGCTGAGGGGAGACCATAAAATTGGAAGTAAGCCAATCTTCAACCCTCTCGGCAGCACAAGGATATATGTGTAGGGTGAGTAGCTAGTTTCTAATTTTATCTCAAGGAAAGGACACCATTGGCACTGGCTTTTCTAGGCACTATGGCAAATGAGATATTCCGTCTTTCCCCCAGTATCTGCTTACTTTTTCTCTGCTTCATTGAGTCTTAGTCTAGACTTTGTTCAGGTGGTTTGGGAGAAATCATTATGCAGCTATGTTGGATGCATTCTTTTTTGCCTCGTATTATTATTCTTATTATTATCCCATGTCAAGTTGGACTGTTGGAGTTGTAAAACACTCTAAAGTTGTGCAATGCCTATGAATTATTGATGTGGAAAATATGATTGTTAGGTTATTACAGGCTCCCATGGCTCAATTAAAGTTGTGAGGTTCTACTGTGTTTCTTTTGCTTCCTCTTCTCTTTGCTAGAAGAATCTCCACCATGTGTTGAACATCTTTATATCATTATGAGAAAGATGAAAAATAGAAGTCAAAGGTTTGAAGTAAGTGCTGAAGGAAACAACTTGGTGTAATGCCATATTTTGTTTCCTCATCTCTTCTTGTCATATTTTTTTTCTTCTTTTCTTTCCAATTTGTTTTCTTCAATGGGGGTCTAAAACCCTCCCTCATAGCGCCCTGCAATGCACTGTATTGATTGTTATTATTATTGAATATAACATTTCTATCTTACTGTTGGGTCTTAGTATCTTTGCATAAGTGAACTTGTGACAGTTGTGTGTTAACATGTGCTTTGCTTCTGAGAACATGAAACCCAAGTTTAAGTGGGCATAGGCTTGCTATCCTTTCACTTCCCACCACCTCACTATACCAACTTCACTAAAACCCATGTGGCCATGCTGTAGATCTACTGTCACTCCAAGAACAGGAGAAAACTTTCACATAAACACAATAACAACCGAAAATAGTAACACATACAGTAACAAATCATTTATGGCTAGAATTGCTGTCTATGTTTCATTCCCTTTACAAAATTTCACAAAACAGAAAGAGATCAAATGAAAAAGTGAAATTTTGTTACAAAAATTTTTCAACCTGATTAAAGGCTGGTGATGGACCACAAAAGTTGGAGGTGAGGTCATTTTTGGCTGAGATTGAGGAATTCATAACAAACATTACAACAAATGTTGCTTATCCTAGTTTAGGGCTAACCTTACAAATGACCTTTTTTGATTACTCAAAAAATGCATTGTCTCTCACTTTGAAGCTCTTCTGTTAAGAACAGAGTTTTTCTAGGACGTGTTTGTCCCAGCTTGTACTTCTTGAACAAGAGTTCTTTTCCTTGTCTTGCCTTAAATTTGTTTGTTTGTTTGTTTGTTTGTTTTTTTTTTTTTTTTTTTTTTTTTTTTTTTTTTTTTAATAATTTTTTAGCTGTTTGCCCTTCTCCTACTTTTACGAACAGGTGAGCTCCCAAATAAGTTGGGCCAAACCAACATGAGACATTGACATATTGGAGGATTGTGGAGTTACATGATTCTCACTTCTCCAAATAAATAAATTGAAAAGCAAAATATAATTGAAGTTTTTTTATTTTTTGGGGGCTTTTTTTTCCCCATTATATGAACATGTTCTGACTTTAGATTTGAGCACTTGACAATGAATTTAAGAGGTTCCTTTAATGTTTGTCTAGTTGTGTCTGAATTGAAGATAGTTATGAAGAATCATTATGGGGTTATGTTTTTTGGTTGTTTCTTAGTTCTTAGATGATTTGATTGGGGGTTATATGACATTAATGATCTTTGGTCCTTTGGTTTATATTAAGGTTGGACTATAAAGCTCCTTAGTCTTGTTGATAGGCAGTTTAAATATTTATTGTTGGATTATTTATGCTTTCTCCCTACCTTGGAAGAACCCATTAACCACTCTTTCTTTATGTTCATGTGTCAATCTTTTCTTTGCTTCTTTCTTCCTGCTTATTTTTTGTATCCTAGATATCTTATCTACTCCCTACTCATCTTAATAGAATTATACTGCTGTGAATGGCCTATGCATTAGTTGATCATCGTGTGGTTAGACCGAAAGTCAATGTTCTGGATACTATTTCTGTCCAGAATAATGCCATTTACTGATTTACATTTTACAGTATACATAACTTTCCTAACCAACTACTTAGAAATGCTAAATGAGCTTGCTTATTGCTCTAAATAATTCTTTAGTTTGTTACTGTTTAAATCTTTCTTTGCTTGGAATGATATCATTTCCATTTTCTTCTCTATCTTTTCTTTTTCCTGTTTCATATTCTGCTTTACTAGAATCCCAATATTTTTTATTTTTAAAATTTTTCTTCCTGCAGTCGGTTTTTGCAAAGTAGGGGTCCTTTTGCTAAAAGAAGACATCCATTAGTGGACTCAACTGTAGTTGCTGAAATAAGAAGATGCCTTGAAGAGGGGCTTGAATTCCAAGGCGAATTATTAAATTTTAGAAAAGATGGAACTCCGTTGATGAATAGACTGCGCTTGACTCCTATATATGGAGATGATGACACAATTACTCATGTTATAGGTATCCAGTTTTTTACAGAAGTGATTCTTGATCTAGGCCCACTGCCAGGGTCTTCAGCCAAGGAGTTTACAAGATCATCTGTTAGGCACTGCTCTAGTCTTTCCTCTTGTGGGCCAATTTCTAATGGAAACCTGAATATTGCTTCTGGAGTTTGTGGGATCCTACAGCTGAGTGATGAAGTTCTTTCTCTCAAGATTCTTTCACTATTGACCCCAAGAGATATTGCATCTGTTGGCTCTGTATGTAGAAGGCTCTATGCTATGACAAAGAATGAAGATCTCTGGCGTATGGTTTGTCAAAATGCATGGGGTAGTGAAACAACTTGTGTATTAGAGGCAGTGCCTGGAGCAAAGAGATTAGGGTGGGGTAGATTGGCAAGGGAATTGACTACACTTGAAGCAGTGGCTTGGAAGAAGTTAACTGTTGGAGGTGCTGTTGAACCTTCACGCTGCAACTTCAGTGCATGTGCAGTTGGAAATAGGGTAGTTCTTTTTGGTGGAGAAGGGGTCAATATGCAACCCATGAATGATACATTTGTTTTGGACTTGAATTCCAGTAGTCCAGAGTGGAAGCATGTCAAAGTGAGCTCTCCTCCTCCTGGGCGATGGGGTCACACACTTTCATGTGTGAATGGATCTCATCTTGTTGTATTTGGTGGCTGTGGGACACAGGGCTTATTGAATGATGTCTTTGTGCTAGATTTGGATGCCAAACACCCCACCTGGCGTGAGATCTCTAGTTTGGCCCCACCACTTCCAAGATCTTGGCATAGCTCCTGCACACTCGATGGGACCAAGTTGATAGTTTCTGGAGGTTGTGCAGATTCTGGAGTGCTTCTCAGTGACACTTTCCTGCTTGATCTATCAATGGAGAAACCTATGTGGCGAGAGATACCAGTCGCATGGACTCCACCTTGTCGTTTGGGACACACATTATCTGTTTATGGTGGCCGGAAAATTTTGATGTTTGGGGGACTTGCTAAGAGTGGCCCTTTGCGTTTTCGATCTAGTGATGTATTCACAATGGATTTAAGTGAGGAGCAACCATGTTGGAGATGTGTAACAGGGAGTGGAATGCCTGGTGCTGGAAATCCTGGGGGCATTGCTCCTCCACCCAGGCTTGATCATGTGGCAGTAAGCCTCCCTGGTGGTGGAATCCTGGTCTTCGGTGGGTCTGTTGCCGGTCTTCACTCGGCCTCACAGCTCTACATCCTAGATCCAGTAGAAGACAAGCCTACATGGAGGATTTTGAATGTGCCTGGTCGACCTCCAAGATTTGCTTGGGGACACAGTACTTGTGTAGTTGGCGGAACTAGAGCAATAGTCCTAGGAGGTCAGACTGGAGAAGACTGGATGCTAAGTGAACTGCATGAATTGTCCTTAGCAAGTTCTACTATATAATGAAGAGAAAAGCGAGATCAATATCCATATGCTTGAAATAAAGATTATCTTTGAGCGAAGCACCCTATCTACACCCTTTTTGCTTGCCTCAAATGGAATATCAGTATCCATTGGTTAGTTGCTGTTCTTTTATTTATACTGTTGAGCAGCTCCTGGACATTACAAGTGGTGGATCATCTGAGCATAATTCTCCAAAAGGCTTGCCTGAAATAGATTTTTATGCCTGCACTTGGAATTATCTTCCCTTTTCAGCTAGCAACAGTCAATAGAGTAGAATGAATATTTTCTAATTCTAGGTTTAGTTCATCCTGTATGGCATCTGGTGTTAGTGGTTCAGGTCCATGGGACAGCATATCAAAGCAACAAAGTGAAAGGTAAAGGGAAAAGAGAAAAAGTATGGAAACAGAAGCATGCATTACGTTTTGATGGTTAGGTGAAGATGATGATTTTGTTTCGTTGTAATTCTAGGTCTTGCGCTCCCCGCCCTCCCCCCCCCTCCCCTTTTTTTTTTTTTTTGTTTTTTGTTTTTTTAATTATTCTTGTTGGTACATTTGAAAGGATTTAAAATTGAACTTGACTTCTTACCTTGAGTCACAGGCCCTTTGTCTATATCACATTAACATTGTTGTTATCATTTGATGCATTTCATGAAGCCATTTGTTGAACATGATATGCTCTGCCTGAGACTCCGGAATATAGAGAAGTGCTTAACTAAAACATGCATTTGCAATTTGCAAGTACTCTTCTGGACCTTTTATTTCTTAGACATAGCAATTTGAATGCTTTGAAGAAAAAAGCTTGAAGGAAGTTTGAACTCGTACAAGTTGAATGAGCCTGTGCTGTGAAGAGGCACAAATGTTACATACATTTAAAAAAAAAAAAAAAAGCAGGTGCACCTGGATTTGAGCATGTTGTATTTGTGGGAGTTTCAGAAAGAAGTCAGAACTGCATACAATCCCTTACCAGAGCAGAAAGTCTTTGCAGCGATTGTTCATCAAAGTAAGTGTCTTTTTCCCTAATTGCAGAAACAAAATCAATAGCATCCTCATATCTTCTTGCTCTACAGTAGCCATTTACAACAGTTTTGTATGTGAGTTCATTCGGTCTGCAGTTGTGCCGAATCATGTAACTGATCAGTTCATTTACTTGTGAAAACATGCCTTGTGATGCATAACCAGCAACGAATGTGTTGTACGTAATGATACAAGGTTGAATACCGGCTGCTGTCATGTTGGAGAAATGTTTCACAGCTTCCTGCATAAGCCCTTGTCTACAAAACCCTTTGATGACAGTGTTGTACGACACGCGATCTGGTTTTTCACCGATTTCTTCCTCCACTCCATTCAGGATATCTTCCGCTTTCCAACAGTCACCAGCTCTTGCATACATATCCATTAAGGTATTATAGGTTAACAAATCTGGCTGCAGGCCATTCTCTCGAATCAATCGCATTATTTCATTTGCCCGATCATACATCACATTCCTCGCAAATATGGAAAGCATGGAATTGAACACCACCAAATCAGGTCTGTACCCATTCTTCTGCAATTCCTGAAAAGCTCTCTCTGTGCCTTGCAGTGATTTACACTTAACATTTGAAAGAACAAGGTTTCTCATAAGCATCCAACTAGGATAAATATGCCCGTCGTAAACTTGTTTTGCAATCCTTTCTACGCCTCTTGCGTTCCCTCCCTTTGAGTAGCAATGGAGCATCAAAGAATAAGTGGTTTCACTGGGCTTGAATCCTTTGTTTTTCATGTCCAACAAAACAGATTCAGCAGCTCTCCAATCACCCCTATGAGCCAGGGCATTTAGAAATGCATTATAAGTATTGACACATGGAGTAAACCCGGCTTTGATCATCTCATCATACATTTTACCTGCATCCAAGTCTGATCCACACCTCGCATATGCACAAATCAAAGCATTAAACGTGTCCCTGTCGGGTTCAAACCCGCATCTCTTCATCTCATGAAAAACGCGCTTCACATACTTCTGCATTCCACTATTCCCACACATTGCAAGCACCGTGTTCCAAGTAATCCGATTAGGGGTACATCCATTCAACTTCATGTCAGAGATTACCTCCATCGTCTCTTCTATCCGATATTTCTTCCCCAGCATTGCAATGATTGAATTATATGTACACACATTAGGAACACAGCCAGACTGTTTCATCTGTTCCAGTAAGCTAAAAGCCTTGCCCTCTTTCCCAGCTTTACCGTAAGCATCTATCAACGTGGTATAAGTGATGGCGTTCGGCATTAAACCCTTCTGAGACATAGTTTCTATAAGCGCAGCACCTTCTTCATGGAAACCCGCCCTCACATAAGCGCCCACAAGCTCATTATATGTCACCGAATCAGGAGGGCAATTGTTTTCCTCCATTTCTTCAAGCACACTCATAGCCTCAGAGTACGCCCCCATCTTCCCGTAAACTTGAAGCAAGGAATTGTAAGCAACTGTCCCTGGAACATAGCCCTGCAACTTCAACCCATCAAAAAACTTCTTCGCTTCTTCAAACAACCCTTCCCTAGCACACGCAGATATAACCGTGCTGCAAGTGAACTCATCAAACTTATGTCCATTGCTCCTCATCTCATCTAGAAGGCACAATATCTTATCCCAAGACCTCCCTTTCCTACCATAAACATCCAACATAACATTGTACATGACTAAATTAGGGGATAAACCTCTCTCCTTAACATATTCATACAATGCAATTGCCTTATCATACTTGGCACTACGAGAGTAAGCGTGAAGAACAGTCGTCCAAGCTCGAATATCCAGTGAGTGATCCTCAAGTGGAATTACATCAAACAGATTGGAGGCTAACAAGTGCTGGGATTCTCTCCCCAAAACCCTAACCATATATTCAATAACCTGAGTATCTAGCTTTTCACTTTCAGCATTGGAATTCATAACAACCCATTCAAACAACAAGATAGCCCTTTCCCAGTTGCCCCAAACGTCCAACCCTTTCAGTAAACTCATCAAATCCATTTCAAGCAACTCAAATTTCACGGAATCAAGAAATGCACGCAACGCGGACAAGGGCTGTTGGAGAATTGAATTGAGCATGGGCTTACAATTCTCTGGGAGAAAATCATCATCATCCGAAAGCGTGGGATCCTGAGTGGTTCTCGGAATTGCAATCCGTTTCTGCGAATGAGGAGCATCTTGTGAGGTGGCGTTAAGGTGCTGGAGAAGAGAGTCGAGAGGGAAGGAGGGTTGAGGAGAAGGGAAGTTGTGGAGGTGGAGAGGAGGGAGAGGAAGTGTTGTGTTGTTGGTGTTTAATTTCAAGCGCTGCTGGTTGGAGGAGGGCAGAGGAGGCGCCGGTTTCGGCGGCTTTGTTGATTGAAGTGGCAATATTGGTTTGTTGGGGAAAAGGGTACCCTCCATTGTTGAGAGAATTTGAAGAAAAAAAACAAAATTTCAAATTTGCTATCTGCAACTGCAAAGAGATAACATCTGCAACTATGTCCTTGGGCGGAGAAGGAATAAGATATTGACGTTGGATCCCAATTCATCGTCACACTGGCCACTCAATCAAATATGGGGTAAGTTTCGTAACCCCATCCAATTCGACCAATAATTAATTTTTTTTTTTTTTTTTTTTTTTTTTTTTTAAAAGAAGAGGAAAAACTAGACAAAATTTCATATAATGGCATGTTTGGTAAGGGACAAATTTCACAAAGCAAAAAAATTCATACTTTGATTAGGAGTTATTTTTTCACCGAATTATAATTTTTCCATTTTGATGAATTAAAATTTAAGATCCCCTAAGAATGGTAATTCAATGAGAGGTGGGAAGAAAGATTAAATACTTAAAATACGAAATTGGGTTTCTTACTCTTTTAGTTTATTTAAATTTATAATAATAATATGCATTAATAAATTTATAAATTAGGAAGGAAGATACTCATACGTACAAGCTACTACATCAAATGTCAAATGTTACCATAATCGCCTCTACCGAGGCTCGAATCCACCACGTCCTACATAGAAGAGTAACTTGACACCAATGGACCATAAGGGTTTACAAATGAAAGTGTTCACAATTTGTTTCTATTTCTCTTAGCAGGTCAGCCGGGATGAACAGATAAAATGACAATTTTAACCCTATTGTAAAGGGGTTAATTTTATCTCCGGTGACAACTTGACGGAAAATGCACCGAAAGGACCATTTTTGCTACAAAAATAATAGCCGTGAACCTAGATTGCAAGTTTTGAAAGTCGTGGAGCAAACCTGATAGTGTCACTATAATCGTGAGATCAAAAGTGCGAAAAACTCTTGAAGAGTATGAATTTTGAGTATTTGTATGTTATAAGAGATGTTATTTTGTCTTTGCCTTCCATTGCAATGGATGGAGAGATTTGGCTTTAGAGTATTTGTATATTATAAGAGATTTTATTTTGTCTTTCAATGAAATGGTTGAAGAGATGATTGAAGTGAATACTTGGCTTTGCCTCAACAAGTTATTGTTTAAAAAAAAAAAAAAGTTAATGTTAATACAACAAAGGATGTTCTTTTCTTCCTATACATGATGCTATTTTTTCTTTGTTGTTCTTTTCTTCCAATACATGATGCTATTTTTTCTTTCTTTCTTTACCAGATGTTCTTTTTTTGACCTTTACAAGATGCTATTTTTTTTTACCGGATGTTATTTTTTCTCTTTACATGATGCTATTTTTTCTCACAACTTATATAATAGAGAATATAACTTATATAACTTTTTGAAGTCCTCAAGATGCTATTAGTTTCCTTTAAAAGTTATATAAGATAGAATGTTGTTTCTTCCTTTATAGGTTGCTATTATCCAACAGAGAATATAACTTATATAACTTTCTAAAATCCTCAAGATGCTATTAGTGATGAAATCAGCACCTCAACATGCATTCAAGTTCTGAACAGTATGGTAAGAAGCTTGATCACTTGGAGGGAAGGGAAAACAATGGATATTCTTCATTATGAATTCTCTCTTGTACACAAGATAGCAGAGAACATATTATATACAAGAGACAAAGAGCAGAAAACGGTTATAACAGATTGGGAAGAAAAGAAGAAAGCAAAATACAGGAATGCCCTTGCTTCTATTTTGTACTGCCACCTGTTTGTTATTTGTTTGTTATTTCAACACCCCCCGTAAGCTGGAACATGAATATCATGAATGCCCAGCTTAGAGTGAAAGGTTTCAAAAGCAGGTTTTGGTAGGGCTTTAGTGAAACCATCAGCAATCTGTTTTTGGGAAGAAACTGGCAGCAGCTTGATCAGCCCTTCATGCACCTTTTGTTTGACAATATGGCAGTCAATTTCAATATGTTTTGTGCGTTCATGGAACACATGATTCTCACCAATAGCAATAGCTGATAGATTATCACAAAACAAAGGAGTTGCAACATCAAATTTCACACTCAAATCAGCTAGTAGATAATGCAGCCATTGGACTTCACAGACAGTAGAGGCTAGGGCCCTGTATTTAGCTTCTGAGGAGGACTTTTGAAACCGTGGCCTGCTTCTTGGTCTTCCAAGAGATCAAATTATCACCAAGGTATATGCAAAAGCCAGTAATCGACATTCTAGACTCAATGCAATTAGCCCAATCAGAGTCTGAAAATCTCTTCAGTTGCACATGGGAATTAGCATGGTAGAACAAACCTTTCCCTGGGGAACCTTTGAGATATCTAAGGACTCTATGAGCAGCAGTGAGATGAATATTGGTAGGCATATCAACAAATTGACTTAACTGTTGTACAACATGTGAAATATCTGGCCTTGTGTTTGTTAGGTACAACAGTTTCCCAATGAGTCTTCTATAAATCTCAGGGTTGTCAAGAGGAACCCCTTCTGAACTGACAAGCTTTAAACCTGTTGTGGCTGGAGTACTTGCTGGTTTAGCTTCTAGGAACCCATTTTCTTTGAGAATTTCCAAAGTGTACTTTCTCTGAAACAAGCTAATGCCATCTGCTGTTCTGACTGCCTCTATTCCAAGGAAGAAATTCAGGTGACCAAGATCTTTAATCCTTAAGGATTTATCCAGAAACTCTTTAAGCTCATTGATCTGTGGTTTACAATTCCCAGCTATCAAAATGTCATCCACATAAATGAGAAGTGCAGTGAAAGAGCTTCCTGAGGTCTTGGTGAACAATGAAGGATCAGCCATATATTGTTGGAAGCCAACCTTTTGTAAGGCTGAAGTCAATTTTGCATTCCATTGCCTGCTAGCCTATCTCAACAACCTGCACACTTGCTTTGGTTTGTCAGTACTAAAACCTGGAGGTGGAAGCATGTAGACTTCCTCTTCTAAATCACCATGCAGGAATGCATTGTTTATGTCAAGTTGTTGCACATCCCACCCTTTGGTGACAGCCACAGCCAAGAAGGTCCTTATTGTAGTCATTCTAGCAACAGGTGAAAAGGTCTCTGTGTAGTCCACTCCTAGTTGCTGAGTGTAACCTTTGGTTACTAGTCTAGCCTTGTATCTCTCTATGGAGCCATCAGCTCTATGTTTGATTTTGAACACCCACTTGCATCCAATTGGGATCTTGCCAGCTGGGAGATCTGTTAGAGTCCAAGTGTTGTTGGCAACTAATGCTTCAATCTCAGAAGTCATTGCCCTCTTCCATGACTCATTCTGTACTGCTTCTACATAGGATTGTGGTTCTTGTGCTGCTAAGATAGATGAAGCACATACCCTTTGATTTGGGGACATAGAATCATAGGATAAGACCTTGTCCAGGGTATGTGGAGAAGTCCTCACGTGTACAGTAGTAATCTTGCAATCTTTTAGGGATGTTTCTAGGCCTTTCAGACCTTCTAATTTGTGGTTGATTTGTGTTTTCTTCCTGCTGACTGGAATGTTCTTCTTGAGAACTCTCATCATTCAACTCATTACTCAAACCATACTCACTATTATTTCCAAGTTCTCCATCAGGTCCTGGTGTATGACTTTCTGGCTGAACTGAGGCATTGGGGCTGCAATCTGCTATCTGAGGCATACCATTAGAGAGTTGTGAATCATTGGGCTTATTGTTTCCTGTGAACTTGTCCAGAGACCTCATTGGTAACATGTCCTCATCAATTGAAACCAGAGGTAAAGTGGGATTAAAGTACTGAGCTTGAGAAGGAGCATGACTAGGAGTGGACTTGAGAGGATATATGTCTTCATAAAACTGCACATCCCTGGAAATGAACACACAATTGTCAGCCAAGTCATATAGTACATACCCCTTCACATTAGCAGGGAAGCCCAAAAATATACACTTTCTAGCCCTGGGCATCATTTTATTCCTCCCTTGTGAAGCTGATGCACCAAAACACAAACAACCAAAGGTCCTGAAGTTGTTGTAGTTCACAGACTGGCCATACACAAGCTCAAAGGGTGATTTTCCACTGTTGATGGGAGTAGGTAGCCTGTTAATAAGGTACACAGCATGCAACACACAATGATTCCAGAATTCCAAAGGAACACCAGATTGAAACCTGAGTGCCCTAGCAACATTCAAGATGTGTTGATGCTTCCTTTCTGCCACCCCATTTTGTTGAGGTGTGTTAACACAAGACTTCTGGTGGACTATCCCCTTCTCATTAAAGAAAGAGGACATAAAGAACTTAGTACCATTGTCAGATCTCATCATTTTAATCCTTGTTGAAAATTGTGCATCAACATAGTTATAGAAATTCTGAAATAGGCTTTTGACTTCTGACTTAGTTTTCATCAAATGTAACCATGTGAATCTGCTACAATCATCAACAATGGTTAGAAAATAGTGTTCCCCTCTCAATGATGACACTGGAAAGGGTCCCCACACATACATATGAATTAGGTCAAAGCATTTAGCAGCCCTATTTTCACTGATAGGAAACACAGATTTCTTATGTTTAGCAAAATGGCAAGTGTCACAAGCAAAAGATTGAGATTTCTGAAACTGAACACATTTTATTCCATTCAAAGTGTGAATCTTATCTATGGGATAATGCCCCAGTCTATTATGCCACATGTGAACTGTCAGATTATTACATTGACTACTAAGCTCAATGCACTGCTTTCTCTTGACAGGTGGATGATTAAGAAGATAGAGCCCATCCTTTTCCTTAGCAAAACCATCCATCATCCCATGTAGTCCCTGAATATCACAAGAGTCAGTGCTCATGACAAGAGTACAACCACTTTGCTTTATTAACTTGCTGGCAGATACTATGTTGAAACTGAAAGAAGGTATGTATAAGACATTTTTCAATATGAGATTGGGAGAGAGCCTAACTTCTCCCATATGTGTAACCTGCACAGTTTCTCCATTTGGCAGTTTTACAGAGATATTATTGATAGCATGACATCTTTCAAGATAATCCAAGGAGTATGTGATATGATCAGTAGCTCCTGAATCCAAAATCCACACAGTAGGACAATTCAATATAGCATATATGTATGAATTGCAGAAATACTTGCCTTCCTTTGAAGTATTTGACATTTTGGTGAAGTTAGGTTTCATTCCAGTGTCAGTGACTGTTACTGCAGCACTAGTGGAGGCCTGGTTCCCTTGATTCTGGCCTTGCAGGAGGGATATCAACCTCTTAAACTGATCAGGTGAGAGCCCTACATCACCAATTTGATTAACAGAGGGATTGAAATTCTGTTGACTGAAATTCTGTTGAGTCTCTTGACCTTGATTTTGCCTATTTTTAGATTTGTATCCTTGTACCCAACCAGGAGGAAATCCATGCTTCTTATAACATTTATCTATAGTATGGCCATTCATTCCACAATAGGTACATTTTGGGACAGTTTTGCCTCCTACATTGCTGAACTTTTTCTTATTACTTGATGCCATAACCACAACATTCTCATCATCTGCTATAGGATTCTGGACAACATTGGCTTGTGTAACTTCATTATTCTTATGAACATTGACACTGTTAAGCTTTCTTTCTAACTTCAGAGTCATGTTTAAGACCTTTTCCATAGTTGGAAGAGGATCCATGACCAGGACACCTGACTTTATGGTCTCAAACTCATCATTTAGCCCCTCCAAAAACCTAATGACCTGATCCTCCTCTCTGTCTTTTCTTATTTTAGTCATGAGAGAACATGCACATCTAGGTACACATTCACAAACAGGTAATGGCCTTACTGCATTCAACTTTTCCCAAAGAGCATTACATTTTGTGAAGTATTCATTAATAGACATGTTACCTTGTAGACTTCTATAGATCTCGTTTTGAATCTCTGCTATTTTGTGAGAATCCGCCTGAGCGTACCTCTTCCTCAAAGCATTCCATATGTCCTCTGCTTGTTCGAAGTATAAGACACTCTCAGCGATGGTAGGGTTTAAGGATCTTAATATCCAGGAGCATACAATGTCATTTGATCTCTTCCAGGCAGCAAACCTTTGATCAGACTCTCCTGGACTTCGGATTGAGCCATTGACGAAGCCAAACTTGTTCTTCACCCCCAACGCCAACTTCATGGACCTGCTCCATGTAGCATAATTGAATTCTGACAAGGGAGGTGAGACCAGCACTATGTTCGGATTCTCCGTGACGTGTAGATACATCGAATCATCAACTTCATCCATTCGATGTACCGGACTCTGGTTTGCATGGATCTGACTGGCCGGAATTGAAGCTCCTGCTGTGTTTCTGACGGAGTCTTCGTTTCCGGCTTCACGATCCGTACTCACTACGGCGGCGTAGCTGCGGTGGTGCTCTGATACCATAATGAAATCAGCACCTCAACATGCATTCAAGTTCTGAACAGTATGGTAAGAAGCTTGATCACTTGGAAGGAAGGGAAAACAATGGATATTCTTCATTATGAATTCTCTCTTGTACACATAGCAGAGAACATATTATATACAAGAGACAAAGAGCAGAAAACGGTTATAACAGATTGGAAAGAAAAGAAAAAAGCAAAATACAGGAATGCCCTTGCTTCTATTTTGTACTGCCACCTGTTTGTTATTTGTTTGTATACTTCAACAATTAGTTTCTCTTAAAAGTTACATAGAATGTTGTTATTTACAACAACAAAATAGAAAATAGATAGATCTATTTACAATAGCAAAATAGCAGTAAAATGCATTTGACTTCACACTTCATTGAAATCAACAATGAACTTAACATCTCTTCTTTTGTCTCCAACTTTTACATTTTCTGCAACTTCATACACAAAATTTGAATTTTCATCCTTTATTAGAGAATGATAGCAATAAAATTATTCCTTTTAACTCCTCTTGGAACTCTTAATATTTTTCATTGTATAAAGTCTTTTAAATTGTTTTTATATCTTATAATTACTAAGACATTCATACCTAGGGTTAAAAGAATGAAAATCTGTTTCTTTCTCTTCTCTACTTTACTTTCCATTGCTTTTTTATATTGTCAAAAAATACATACCTTCAAAGTTGTTTTAGAGTTGACATATCTATAAAAAAAACATTCATGTTTTCACTTCGTTGGGCATAGACATGTCCACCCAAAATGTATATTTCATATATGTTGGAACCCAACATTGTTTTTCTTTAACCCTCTAACCAATCATTCTCATTGATATCATATGTGCCCATCATTAGTGACCATCCATTTTCAAACTCATTTTCATTTAAAGAATCATAAACTTGATTGAAGTGAATATCCCCTCAACTTTTCAGGAAACTTTTTCATGATATGCCATCAGGGCCGGATTTTAGGCTGTGCAAGCAGGGCTACCGCACAGGGCCCCCAATTTTAGAGGGGCCCCAAATTTTAGAGGCCAAATATTTAATATTTACCTAGCTAGTTTAGAAATAAAAATTAAAAGTTTTCAATTAAATTTAAAAGGTTCTATGAAGAGATGGTAGTAATGTGTATTTATTATATTTTAACTTGGAGGTCAAAGGTTCGAAACTCGCATATGTTAGTTTTAAAAATTATGATTTTGGAGGGCCTCAGTTATTTATCAGAACAGGGCCACAAAAACCTAAAATCCGGCTTTGTATGCCATAATCACCACCTATGTTTTGTATTTGGAAATACAATTTCAATAGCATTTTGGATTGCCTGATCAGTAATAATGACTTTCAGATGGTGTCCTGACATACAATTTAACCATGATTGAAATAATCATACAAATGGGTTAGTATATTCTGTGATCAACAACCCACAACCAAACGATACAGATTTTCC